TTTCAGCAACAGCAATATGCGACTTTTTGACTGGCATTTACTCCTTTGGTATGGCTTTCGGGCAAGGATATGACATCCAGGAGTTCAAGGTCTGGCAGGACATCTACTGTTCTTACTTCAGATTCCTGTTTATCTTGGCAGAAGTTAATGGAGGACTGACGTCACTGTTGATGACGATTGAACGATATGTTGCCATCGTTTTCTGTATGAAACCTGACATAAGGCTAAGGTACAAAGCTATACGAATAACACTCCCGCTGATTTGGATTGCAGGTGTGACAGCAGCAACTTTAGCGCAAATACTTGACTTAAGGCACGACGTGAAACCCGGGAAAATGTGTCTCTTCTACAGAAACTCCGACAAAGTATCCTCCTTTTTTATTAACGAGATAGTGATGCTGTTTCTAGTATTTATCTATCTTCTCGTCGTCTTTTTTTATCTACATATTTTTATAGTTGTGCGAAGATCTGCGCGCAAGGCAGGAGCGCGTAGAGAATCGCAGTTAGCCAAGCGAATCTGTTTGATTGTTCTTTCAAGTTTCGTGTTTTTCGCCGCGCCTAATTTTACACTGGCGTGGTTTATCATAAATGGAGGAGCCGTTTTTGAAGATGGGAGAATGAATCGAACTCTGTTATGGTGGCTGCCTCCTGTATGTTTGGTGGTCAATGCTTGTCTTAACCCTTTAATATTCGCGTTTAAAAATGACAAGTTCACCAGTTCTCTTAAGACCATAGCAAGCCGCCCTCTCAGAGGGCTTTTAATGAGTAATAAAAAGAACAGGAATTGTAAGCCATTTACATTAGAGTCGCCAGCTGTCGCTCAAGGAAGCCATAATCAAGGAATGGCTTCTAGTCTGAAACTCGTTGCTGAAGTAACAACGACAGCTTTGCCTAAATATCAGGAAAAAGAGTAAGAGTGAGGTAGAATCAAAGGTAGAATCAAATGACGAATAAAAGAAAACCGAATGGAAGAAAGATGAAAGAATGGAAGAAAGAAATAAAGAAAAAGGAAGGAGGAAAGAGAAAAAGAAGGAAAGTAGCAACTATATGATCAAAAAGATATTTCTTGACTTCTTATCAGAACGAACATGCTCATATTTAATTCAACCATTCATTTAGGCTAAATATAATGTCCTCTCTTACAAAAAGGGCGTCAGAATAAAAAGAAGAAAAGGGAACTAAGAAAAGGAAAATTTTGTTCTGGACAAAATGTATAGATCATGTCAGTCTTCGAAATAGATAAATTTCATTTGTTATCTAACTCGATTCGAATCAACTCGAAATGTTAAATGATTCAGTCGCGCGACGTGCCCTGTCAAAACACTAATCATGTCACTACAATTTAAATGCATTTTTTGGCGTGGTTAAACGTTGGATATCAAGAATATAAAAAAGTGATAGCGGACAGTCGTTTAATTACGAATATCAGAGAGTGAGGCGCGGGAAAGTTTGCTGACGGGGTTTTTATGAATAATTTTTCTCGTTTCTACTGGTAACCGAATCTCAAGAACCGTGCGTCATCAACAGTCAAACGTGAAGGTTCGTTACCGCTGGAAACGGAGCCATATGCCCTTTACAACACGATTTTATAATTAACATCAAAAAATTATCGCCATGATTCGTCTTGCCTTTCTCAACTGAAAATCGTAGTGTCATGACTTACGTTGACTGTGCAGAAACATTTATGCCTCTTGCTCGCTTGCCAATAACCTAGTCCTGTACACTGTGTATTGCTAGGGGTGAGCTCGGTTTGCTCGGAGAATTAAACGGACAACCTTTATTTGCTGTAATTTGGCCACTCAGTTGAGTGGCCGTTTATTTTTAATACCAAATCAAATTACAGTAAAACCGGAAATAAAGCCTAATCCCAGCAAAGGTGAGGGCGAACACGCCAAAGCCCTGATCGACTCGAGAGACAGGGCCGCCCCACCGGAAGCCCAAGCAATGCACAGTACCTAAACAAAAACTACTGTAAGAAAACAACGCGGCTCACACTGGCAAGGAAACCAGCCTAGTGCCCCCCTGGCGAGAATGATAGACTGAAAGCTAGTATCCAATGTCATGTTAATACTAATGAAATTATTATCATGCTTGTGAAACAGTTGGCCCTTGCACAACCTCCCCTTAAGCAGGTCATCCTAGAATGAGATGACAAACCGTTAAATAAATTACTTTAAGAACTCCACCTACTTACAGGCCAGAGAAAGTGGCCCAGAGGGGAAACATTGGGCCCTCTCCCCAATGTCCCCGAAACTAGCATTACCAAATAAACCTAGCGTAAAAGGTCAAACTGCTGGCCCTTGCTCAGCAGCATTTCTAAATTACAGCGGCTTATGATTGCACATTCAATTTGTGCTCAGAACATTTGCCATTTTAGGAAACAGTTGGCCCCTGCACAAATGCTCCTAAGTAGGCCCTTCAGGGTAACACTGATAATACACTGTGGAGCTCCACGAGGTAATGAACGATATTTGCGTAACCCATTTACCAAGTGGCCCCCGCACACATGGTTTAATGAAGCAAAACAAGAGTGTACTATACTCAGGAGATTTAATATATGTAAATCTAAGAGGTGGTTCATACTCTAATATTTCATATTCACAAAAATATTAAGACAAACATAGCACAGATACCAGTGGCCCCTGCACACCAGATCTGTGCCGTGTTTAGGAAAGTCTACTATGTCTATACGGTATCCCCATGCAAGCATGGGCAAATGGTATTGAACTAAACCTGGAAGGCTGACAGAGATCCCATTATGGAGGTTCATATCTATCGCGGAAATGCATTAGAGTTTCCGCGTCCAAAATCCCTTATCTGTGGATCTAAGGGCCGCAAAGAACGCAACAGCATACATGGCTTGACCTTATTTTTTGTTTTGTTTTTGTTTTTGTTTGTTTTTGTTTGTTTTGTTTTTGTATTTGTTTTTTTTTATGAATGAGTGTGTTCGCAGGCCAAGATCATATTTNTAGTATACACCCCAACATAGATAAGAAAACTGCTTGTCCACGAAGAAATATTTAGGAGCTTTTTGGATTTAGCAACAGGCTCTGATGCCAGTGATGGAGTAGAGCCATCGTCATTCTGTAAATTGACTTGATACTTGTTATCTAAAATTGGGTTGGTGATCAAAGCCCCTTCCAGTCCTTAAATTCATTGTTGAGAATCTTTGTTCTGAGTTTCGGAGAAACCGAAGCATCAGTAGGTAAACTCGGGGAGACGAAGAAGGTGTTTGGAAAAGTTGGACTAACTGAGTAACCTGAAAGTTGTTCCTGGACTTGACTCACAGCGGTTTGGATGACAGGTGTCGACAGGTTTGCACCTTGAAGAGGGGCACCAAAGGCTTGTGCTTCTGTGACGTCATCCCCCTTGGAGGATGTGGCCGTAGGAGAAGACGGGGAGGTGGGCACAAGTTAGCTTGTGACCTCGTCTGAAATCTTGGTGACCAGATCAGCAAGTAAGGCCAGGGGTAATAAGAAGACCACCGGACTGCACTGGTTCTCTAGTGGATGTATCCTGAGCGAGAGTACGGCGGGAATGCTCAGACAGAGTATATGCAACAGCAAGACCCACAACAAAGGCCAAAAGAAAACAATCATTAAATAAATCCTTAAATAAAATAAAAGGAAGAGAGATGACAGTAGAAAACAGTCTGGCACAAATAAGTGATCTATAACACCATAAGGTAGTTATAAGCATACAAAAGATGCAACAGCACAAATGGTACATGAATGACACAGAATAATAACACTCCCGCCGAGTAAGTATTATGACCCATGCTGACAAAGCCAGAACTATACATCCCTTCTTCCATGCATAAGATGAATTATTAAATAAAATAAAAGGAAGAGAGATGACCGTATAAAACAATCTGGCACAATGACCAAAAACAAAAAGAGACGAAGGCGAAATCAGTAACGATAGCGGGCAAGCTGACTTGTAGGAAAAAATCAGTTTCGGTGGTAGATGTTCGTTTATTTTAAAGTCGCATGAAACTTAGAGGCTTGTCCCTGGCCTTCAAAGAGCTTTTTTTATTGGGAGAGGAGAGGGTGGGGTGAAGAGAAGTGAAAGGTTTCCAAACAGTATTCTCACAAATTCATATTACAATCAAGTATTATGCTCCAATTCACTGCTGGTCAATGAAGATTATGAGCCATTCAATTGGTCAAAGAAGGAACAGCGGCGAAAATATCTCTTTGTTGCTGGCTTGGAAAAAGGAAACCTCAACCCATTTTTTATGACTATCGCTGTTTAGAGGAGAGAAATTCAAAAAGTGCATTCGGCAAAATTTGGAAACCGACACCATTCATGGGAAGAATTATTCATAATTATCGTCATGACTTTCAAATCCAAAATAAATGGTTTACTTTCAAGTTAAAATCGAATCTCGATTCCTGGGTTGGTACACGCGCATACGAAAGACACCAAACCAACATAGATTCTCTCCGATACAATGAATATATGA